GTCAGATAAAGCAGAACTGTGAGGCAAAGCTGTTGATTTACAAATCAATTTACATCCCAACCATCTGCTTTGATCATAAAGTGAGAGTAGTGACAGAAAAAAATAGACCACAAATACAAGATGAAACAAGCTCTCTGTGGAGTGGCTAAACTCTCATTTAGGAACAAACTGATGGACAGACAGAGACGTAAAGTATGAGTGCAGGTATGTGTGTGTGTTTGTATGTATGGAAGGGGATGTCCTGGAAATAAAAACGGTTCTTGTGGAAATCAGTAAAACGAGCAAACCGAACTGAATCATCTTTGAAAAGATGCAAACACAAAGTTCTTGTGTTATAGTGACATCTAGTGACATAAATGTTCAACTGCAACAAAATGAACAATATCTGCGTAGTTACGAAGAAAAACTGTTTACTTCGTCCCCTGTGGGTTACTGTAGTGAAAATCTTAACCACTTAACAGTCTTTGCTCCACCGGTGGGCAAAAACGGTGCGGTGCCGGGGGCTTTTATTTTGAAAACTAGGGCATCCGATGACTTCATCCAGTTCTTACCTTTAGTTTGACACCCTTACAACAAAATAAAAATGYCAAAAGGCTTTTAAGGATTTTCAGGSGCTACTGTTAAGGATTAATTTAATTTCATCAGTGTAGCATTCTGTATTTGGGGGTCCAAAGGTGCTAAAAAAGAAAAATATTGAAAACACTAATGCTGAGTCATCATAATACACATTCTGACATAAATTTAAAAAATGTTCCAATTTGCGCAAGTTGCTGAACTCAATACATGCTTGAGTTTCCATTCATCTCATCCTGACGTATAACAAGTCGGCACTCTTCCATCACCCCTAACGGTCCGGTCGACCAACTATTGGACTTGGCTCGCCGTTTGTAAAGACCCAAACAGACTTTGGGTCGTCTTTTTTGTTCGTCTACCAAAGTTCTGCTGCCGGGTGACGCGCGACTACCTCAGATGAGTTCTCCCAGTGCCACGCTGCACCCATGACACAGATAATCTGCCTCTCGTAGGCCCACGGTTGCGTAGGACAATGGTGGCGGCGGCGGCGGGTGACAACTTCTCTGGCCCCCCCACTGAAACAGAAACAACACGCTCCATCTCARCTGTAATCTTTGATCAGCTAAAACACTCTGTGATAAACACCGGCTCGGTCCCCCAGGGGCAATCGCTCTATAGCGCTGGCATCATGGGAGGTAATGTATGCACAGACGTGTTGAAATCGCCTCAGGTCCTCACACACACTGTGTACACACAGAGAGATGAATTGCTACGCCACAAAGAATAAATACATATCAGCTACAGTGAGCTGAGGCGCTTTGCACTTTCCTATTAATCCTCAGTATGGTGATTTATTGCAGTGTGCTCGTCAACAGCCATATAGCCCCCCTGGAACTGGGGCCAGCCAAGAGAAATAGTGGAGTTTAAGACTGAGGCCCCGGCAGCTGCTCGACACTCTATTTACGTGGTCCTCGCTGAGGGGCGAATATGCTGGATGCTTAAACAACAATATTTTTCGCAAAGTGGAGCGGGAGCCGGAGAATAATCTGTTCGTCATAATCCCAAGTTTTGAAATGATGTCTTCCCAGATGTCGCTGTGGAGATTTGCATTCGCCAAGGTGAAAGGCCTGGATGCTCGGCAATCAGTCGCGCACGGCAGAGCGAGCGCTGAAGGGTTCCTCTGCAAGTTATTTTTACACGGAGCGTGCGYGTATTCAGCTAAGGGTGTTAACTCATCTGATTAACACGACTTCCAGTGGAAATCACAGGCTGGAGAGGAACACAAGCAGCTGGTAAACAGCAACACCTAGTGGACATGTTGGTTCAGGACTCTTTAGATAGATTTATTTTTTTGTTAGCAAAATATCTCAAATCACTGAACAGATCTTAATGAAACTTTCACAAAGAAATCATTGCTTCATTATTGAGCAATATTCATGAGGCACACAATTTATCACAAGAGTTTTTTCAATAGGATTTGTTAATATGACAAGAAACACCTGGTTTCAATGTGTTAAAAGTTCAAAAGCCTAAGAAAACTTTTTTTTATACAGCAGTGTTATTGACCCCCACACGTGCAGTGGGGGTCATATTGGAAAAGTAAAATGTTAAGCTATATGAATTGTTTGAGTTGATGTTTTTATTTTTATTGTTTTGTAAATTATGTTTTGTTTGAACATATTCTGGGGTTAAAAGGGGCAGACATAAGATTTATTCTTCTTCTGCTACCTTTCATTTTAGTTTGATATTTTTGTGTAATTTCTTTGTTCTTTATTGTATATAGTTATTTTTTAATGAAATAAAATTATTTTGAATTTTTGAATTTTAATTTCATATTGTTTGTGTACACCGTTTGTTTTATTTTATTCAGTGATTTTTGGTCAACCGTAGCACAGAAACGACTGCACCAATCAATATGAAATTTGGCAGGACTGTAGATGAGTCCGACCTACACTGAGACAGCCCCAACGGTTTTATAGTAGACCCCGTATTTGAGGAGGGGGGCTCCATCTAAAAAGGGGGTGTCTGGAAACACAAAAATACTTATAACTCTACAATTATTCAACATAGAAACTTCATTTCTTTGTTTTGTTTAACTCTGATGAAGAGCTATCCATTGGACCCACCAATGAGCAACCCCACCCCACCCCCAGACACCCACCCAAAATAACTGTTCTGGTGAGCAGAGCTGTAAAGTAACCAAGTAGATTTTTGGGGTATCTGTACTTTACTTGAGTAATTATTTTTCTGCCTACTTTTTACTTCTACTTCTTACAGTTTCACACAATCATCTGTATTTTCTACTCCTTACATTTTTTTTAAAAAAA